GGCAAAAATCTTTGGGTAAATCACATTCTGGTGTAACAATCTGTAGCTACAGTTCTCTGCACTTGTGTGTCTCCACACTTGAGACACACAGAACTGTACTACACTGTTCATGCTTTTTTTTTTGTATGTTACTTTTACCATATAACATTCTTGTTGAATACCCAGTTCTCTTGAGTTAGCATGACATTGTGTACACTCCCCTGTATTTTAGAATTTGACAAATAAACAAACGTTCTTTGGATATCTGAATGTCTAACATCTGGTTAATGCTACAGAGCCCTGTACAGCTTATAAATATATTCTGTGAATCCATAAGGGCAAACAAATATTTGTGTGTGCGAGACTTGACATCAGAAGAGTTACAGGGTATGTTAAGTGGTGGTGTCCCATCCCTTGAGGTTGTTGGCCTGAGGTAGGACTAAATAGATTTAAATAGTAGAGTAGGGTGGTATTTTATTATTATATTTTATTTTTTTGTGAGTGTAGTGTTAGATGGTAGGGTATTTAATTAAATTTTTTCAAGCAAAGTATAAGGGAGTTGTGCTCCAGTCTGTGGCAGTTAGGCAACATTTATTGGATGCCAACAGCCGTTAAACCTCATCGAAGGGAGAAATTAAGTAGGATAGATTTCAGTTTTCCTGCATTAAAATCACTGGCCAATAGGAGCGCCGCCTCTGGTTGACCATTTTCTTGTTTGCTTATGACCCTATACAGCTCGTTGAGTGCGGTCTTAGTGCTAGCATTGGTGTGTGGTGGTAAATGGACAGCTACAAAAAATATAGATGAAAAAAATACACTGAACAAAAATATAAACCCAACATGTAAAGTGTTGGTCCCATGTTTCATGAGCTGAAATAAAAGATCCCAGAAATTTTTCATACGCACAAAAAGCTTGTGACCAATACAGATGCATACCTTTATTCCCATTCATGTGAAATCCATAGATTAGGGCCTAATTAATGTATTTAAATTGACTGATTTCCTTAAATGAACTGTAACTCAGTAAAATCTTTGACATTGTTGCATGTTGCGTTTATATTTTTGTTCAGTGTAGTATAATCTACAGCTACAGACGCCCATCCTCACCAACTAACAAATGTACAACATGTAGGGTCATTCTTATTGTACAGATGTCTGATCAAGGCTCAAATGCAAAATAACAACAGGAAGCCGAATGAGCGGTGGGTCATTCCAGTGCAAAGGCATTTGACTGTATTGATTACACATTTCAAATGTACACAGTAATGGTTTACATTTCAAAAGCTTTAGGGGAAGTACTCTCTGGTTTTACATTTTCTAAATGAATGTGATGAAATGGTAAAAGGATGGCAATAGGGCCAAGAGGACACTAGCTAATCAGGAAATACTTTGGTCACTTGTTATCAAATGTATTGGAAACGTTACAGTACTCTACCACTAGAGGGAAGCAAGGTCAAAATGTACATGTAAAATCCAAAACAGAAATCCTTATCGGAGTTAAAGCCTTTCAGACACCAAAGTCATTAACATAACAGCATTTAAATACAGTAATGTCTAACAGAGTTTTATGGAACTTTTTAAAAGGCAGTGCATTGAAAGTAGATGTATTTTCTTACAGAAAATACTGAATCCGCTTTATAATACCCAAGGCGAGGTGAATAGTATAGTGGAAAAGTACAGATATCTCCTAGCCTGGTCCCAGATCTGTTTTTCCTGTCTGGCCACCTCCTAACTACCTTAGGAGTTGTCAAGACAGCACAAACAGATCTGGGACCAGGCTAGATATCACCTACATTATCTCAACAATATCAATTACAGGAAGTATGGCATTGGTATGATTAAAGCTTTCCCAGAAACACGTTAGTGTGCTTACTGGAAATGAGTCACAAGACACAGGACCTATTTGCAATTCAAACTATTTGTGTGGTCAGAATACAAACATTTCCTTTTATTTCTCACAATTTTCTAACTCCATTACTGTCCACAACAAGAATGCATCATTCTGAACTCCTCTTGAAGTCAACAAAAACATTAGACAGAATTAATCTCGTACAAAAACATACTTTCACGATACATACAAAAGGGTATTAGTTATATAAGCCAATCATGTCGTTTCCAGTACAAATAATGTTAAGTATTTGAAATGATCTGAATAAAAGTTATTTATACAGCTGCTTGATAGAAAAGTCCATTGAACTAATGAACAGTCAGACCATGTTTCTGTTCCACATAAGAATATCCTTAAAGGGACATTACACTCCAAATTTAAAGTTGTCAGGTGTTTGTATACCTCAAAAAACGTGCAGATGGATCCATGTCCAACACCATAGATTGTGTAGATACAGAGATCATCCCCAAATGAATGGAAAAGTCCAGATCACAACCCATAATTGTTCATTCATAAACAGATCAACCCATCACCTGTTTATTCATGGAAAATATGGACACAATGGTGCTTGTCTTGGTGCTGATCCGTTTAGGAATGGAAAAGTTGAGCACCACCGGCACCATTTCCATTCATAAACAGATAAGCATCTCTAGTGCTCATCTTTTCCATTCACTTGAGGTTGTGACATATCGTTGGATCTACAAAACCGATGGTGTGGGACGTAGACTTCTTTCAACATAAGACCACTTGAGGTTTGAAAACATCTGACACTCATTCTAGAGTGTAGTGTCCCTTTAAGTACAGGAAATAGTGGGAATAAGCCATTGATTCCTTACAGTAAAAAATGGTCACACACACACAGAGGTACAGACAGCACTGCATAGGCATGACAACTACAGAGAGTATCAACAGTATTGATACATCGACGGGACCGCAGTGGAGAAGGTGGAAAGCTTCAAGTTCCTTGGCGTACACATTACCGACAAACTGAAATGGTCCACCCACACAGACAGTGTGGTGAAGAAGGCGCAACAGAGCCTCTTCAACCTCAGGAGGCTGAAGAAATTCGTCTTAGCACCTAAAACCCTCACAAACTTTTACAGATGCACAATTGAGAGCATCCTGTTGGGCTGTATCACCGCCTGGTACGGCAACTGCACCTCCCGCAACTGCAGGGCTCTCCAGAGGGTGGTGCGGTATGCCGAACGCATTACCGGGGGCAAACTACCTGCCCTCCAAGACACATACAGCACCCGATGTCACAGGAAGGCCAAAAAGATCATCAAGGACATCAACCACACAAGCCACTGCCTGTTCACCCCGCTATCATCCAGAAGGCGAGGTCAGTACAGGTGCATCAAAGCTGGGACCGAGAAAATGAAAAACAGCTTCTATCTCAAGTCCATCAGACTGTTAAATAGCCATCACTAGCACATTAGAGGCTGCTGCTGCCTATTGAAATCACTGGCCACTTTAAGAAATGGAACACTAGTCATTTTAATAATGTTTACACATCTTGCACTACTCATCTCATATGTTTATACTGTATTCTATTCTATAATATTATACTGTATCTTAGTCCAGGCCGCTCTGTCATTGCTTGTCCATATATGTATATATTCTTAAATCCCATTCCTCACTAGTTTTGTGTGTATTGGGTATATGTTGTGAAATTGTTAGATATTACTTTTTAGATATTACTGCACTGTCGGAGCTAGAAGCACAAGCATTTCGCTACACCCGCTATAACATCTCCTAAACACGTGTGTGACAAATACAATTTGATTTGATATTGAAAGAACAGACTGCATTCAGAATAAAACTAAATGTACATGAGGTACATGTAGAAACTAGTAATTCAGCATTCAAAGATTCCTCTTCAAAGAAATATTCTTATTCTGTGTGAATAGGTATGTATTCTGTGAGCATATGCTAGTTTAGCAACTGTTTACTTATGTCAAGAAGGCTACTGTTGTGTACTGTTTGAGTTCCCACCTACAGTAAATGTATTGAGTAGTTGCTGAACAGGTTCATCAACATGACATGAAATCAGAAAATAGCATCCATATGATAAGAAAATAATATTCTGGAATTCCGAATATTGCATGGATTTGCTCATTTCCATTGTCTGAAACAAATAGACTAGAGAGAAAAGGCACTGACGTCTTCTTACTCGACTAAACAAAATGGGGTCAAACCTCGGACACTACAACAACTTAATTCTCGGAATACTCCTAATGAAAACAGTGCTGGCAGTCAAGGAGCTGGTATTGTCGCATAGTTCAAGAGTGATGAGTGAGTGAGCAATGGGTGCCATTATCCCAGCTTCCAGCTGCTCAGAGAAAGAGTCCCTCGTGTCCTCTATTGAGCATAAAACAGCAAATGAAAAGAGCTGGACTACACTACTGCCTTCAGAGCCCAAACCCATTTCACCATGGCTACAGGGCAAAGGCTTCCAACTATCCATGAGCCTCAATTATAGTCTATTGACAAGCAACACAGGCAGCAACGCACAAACACTGTCTGTGTAAAGCCATTGATTCAGTCGCCAAATAACACCTCTCTCAAAATGCAAGGAACAGCTGTCTAAGTAGCTGTACAGAATACAAAAACGAACATGAATAATAATACATTTAGCACACCATGGCTGACTTGACTGAGGATGAAGATGGAACTTGAAATTAAATCAGTAGGAGCATAAAAAAATATGGTAAACTGCATACAAATGAGATTTGGAACAGGGCTCATTGTAAAGTAATCGAAAGGCATCTAAGACATTAAGCAAGTATCTTTCCCAATCATATTGATCCTTTGAACCGAGCTTCAACGACCTTGTAAGATTCAATGTCCTTGTAATCCCAGTCTGAAATCGGAAGTGTGCTCTCTATCCAGCAAGTGTTGACCCAAAGTTCCAATCAAATCCCAGTGCCCCACGTTTGGAACTGTGTTCTCTGCTCACTCCCCTTGAGTGGCAGGTCTAAAACAGCCAGGTAAACATGACAAGTGCCATCGAGATGATTTAGCCACAGATGCATGACAAGGGGCCATCTAATTACATCTATTGTAGCACTGCACAACCAGTCCATCCATAGTGGGCCTCAGAGGATGCAGTACCCTGCTTTGATACCAAGTCTCAGAGCTGAGGCACTTTATCCTCATACATTGGTGGTGGAGTGAGCGGCTCAATACTCATCCCTCCCGGCGGCTGAGAGTTATCCGTGTTCTTCGTATGGATCTTCTCTGATTTAATCCTCTGGATTTTAAGGGGAAGGAGATTGAGGCCCGTTCGCCCAGCGCAGTGGTTAGGCGCAGCAACAGAGGCGGCAGGGTTAGTGGAGGTGGGTGTCATCTGGGTGACCTCTGACCCTTCGACCTCTATCTGCACACTGTCCACCAGGTCGTCGTAGGAGGGAAGCTGGGAGGAGCTGTGGCGCAGGTGGCTCTGGCGTAAGGGGTATTGGCTGCTGCCCACTGCCTCCTCGTAGCTGGGCACGGTGTACCTCTGGGCTCGCTCCTCGGCCCTGTTGACATTCATACACAAACATGGACATGAATAACTGCTCTTTCAGAATGGATTCTGTTTGTCTTTTACATTGTTGCTACTGTGTACTGTAGGCTATGCTGTGTGTTTTGCAACAGGTGTCCAAATACATTAGTGTTTTGTGGAGTTTACGTCAGGGGGCTTTAAGTGAAAAGTTACTAAAGAAAACACTGTAGTAAGACTCAAAGCACTTAAACATGGGTAAGCAATCTTTTTAGCAAAGACCCAGTGTTGGTGCAGGCATCCGCTCCAGCCAAAGCAAAGTAATTCACATCGAACAAATCAACTAACTACTTGAATCAGCTGTACATGTGTTAGAGCTTTGGCTGGCGCAAAAGCCTGCACTCACACACCAGCTCTCATAGGTTAAAGGGAAATTTCACCACTTTTCAACCACATATTCATAATCTCCAGCACCACCCCAAAATCAACATATGTGAAACGGTGGGTTTCTATGTTTTGTAATAAACAAATATAGAAGAAGATAAGGGTTTCCGATGACATTATCCGGAAACACTGATGACATCATCTGGTGAACATCATGTGAGGTTAAACATATAGGAGCAGGCAAAGGTTAGTAAAGTAATAATGGTATTGCCCACCCCTGCAATGAACCCTGAGTAAACAAACCTGCTGAGGTCAGTAATTAGCTCAGTTATTATTCAGTAGCTACAGTACTCACGTCTCTCCGTCCTCCTCACCGGCAGCTGCGTTGTCTGCCCCCAGAGTCTGGGCCTCTTGAAGCGCTTGCTGCTCCCGCTGCTTGTTCCTCATGCCCAGGCACAGGGACAGCATGAGCATGGCCACCCCAGCCCCGACCAGCACAAAGGCCACCGATGAAGCCCTGCCCCTGTTGTCCGGTTTGGGGTTCCCTCCTCCGGTGCCACTGCTGTTGTTCACCGTGTCGGAGGGCACCACGCTCCACACAATCATGACGATGCCCAGGGCCACCAGCCCTACCCCAAGCGCACACAAGGCATACTGGGAACCCGAGTTTCCAGGACTGTTGTTGTGGTTTCTGGCTACAGGGGGGTTCGGGGGTTCGGGGGCTCCCCACTTGCACCTGTACCCCGCATTTTTCCCCAAAACGTAGTTCCTCCTAGTGTTCAGCTAGGACAGCTAGCTGCTTCACACCTGGGGTCAAAGACTGAGGAGAGAGACAGTCAATTAGGGCACAGATAGAACACTGATACAGTAAAGAGGTTAATCTGTGGAGTAAACAATAACTTTCCAACACAAACCCCAATTTAACATGTATAATTGGGAAAACTGATTACACTCAAACTGTGGTAGAATTTGGATACATTGTTATTGTTCCAATAACTTCAATATAGGCCAATTAAAAAATGCACACTATCCTACACCTCACAATCACAATGTATTGCACTATTCACTTGCTTCTGAATTGGCTTGAATTTCAAGATATCCTACAACTGGGGTTCACATGCCATAGCCTACCACTATATTAAAGGTGCAATCCGGGATTTCAAAAACTACTTAGCGGTCACCCCGCCACTTGTTTTGTTAAACAGCTGAGGGATGGGGATGGAGAAATATAACCACTGTCAAATCCATAGACACAACTATGGATGCAAGGACTCACCATACGTGAGATAAAAATAATACATTTTAACCATGTTGTTTTCAAGCTATACAGTGTTTGTTTACAATTACATTGTTTAGAAACAATGGAGTAAGACAAGCTTATATTTGGGGTTCTGATGGGGTATGACAGCTGAACTAAGCTCATGAGGTATTTATACATTATATTCTTTGAGCAGGGGCGCAACTTTCACTGGGAACGGGGGTCGTGTCCCCCCCACTTTCTGAAATTGCATTTTTGACCCCCCAAGTTTTATCACTGCAATGGGATACAAAAAGTGGCAATGGTGTGCTTTAGGACTATGCAGAGGCCTTTGTGCGGTCGGGTAGGCTGTTTGGAGTTTTTAGCCGGCTGGATTTAGGACTGCGAGGACACCACAGAACGGACTGACAGGCTGTGTGAAGGTAAAGCTTCTGGAAGGCTGGCTGACCAGCACGGGAGAGTTGAGCATAGTTCAGTGTGTGTTGCGCTCTTTCACCGAGTTGTAAAAGCAAGCAGAGCAGAAACTGGCTACTATTTAGTTGACGGATGTAGCTGGCAAGGTGACTGCTGTTTAACTTAACAGAAAAAAATATTGTTTATTCACAGTGCTGAGCTAGTATTGTAACTGACATGTAACGTTAGCTAAATGTTTCATCCCCCCTCGACTGAGGTGAATAAATAAGCTACGCTAGCTAGCAGCTACCATAGCCAGGTCAGCTCTAGCCTCTGTCAGATAGTAATAATAGTCATCTCATTTCGCTATATAACAGCTGTTGTTTGTATGGAAATGTTTTGTAGCCTTTGTTTTGTCCCGTTTTAGAAATAAATTAACTTGGCTAGCTTTCGTCAGTTGATGTAACGTTCGAGAGAGAGCTGGCCAAAAGTTGGCTAATGTTAGCTATTATTTTTGCCTCAATCACACTAGACCGGAGTCAAATGATGAAACCATCGGCCAAATGATTGAAAACTGATATTTTGATGTTTTTTTCAGTGCAATGTGAGTTTTTTTGTCAGTATGGCAATGTAACATTATTGATCTGTCAGTTTCCCTAGCTAATTCCCTACTTTTCACACTGACACAGTAATAAACAGATCTAACGTTACAGACTTCACTGTCATGGTGCACAGCAGATGTCTGTGCGGGATCGATGTCTTGATCTCGCTCCCGCTGGCTTTCTGTCCGACTCCCACCCGCTACCGCAAGAACTGGTCCCAAACCCAACTGCAGTCCTGCTATGTTATTTTAGGCATATGTGACGCAGCTCACTTGCCAGCCATGGTCCCAGACATTGTGTGCCAAATGCGCAAAAATAACTTAAGAAATAGGTTACCAGAGATTCTCACATGGCCCTTATATTGTAGTAATGGGCTAAATCAGCCAATATGCTAGATGTAGTTTGAAGAGAGCAGAGTTGGAGAGACTTGCACTTTCTCTTGAGCTATTTTTATAGCCTACCTTTTAGGAGTGGGAAGATTTTCAGAAATATGGGTGATCAATATTTAGGCCTATTTCTAGGCAATGTAGTAAACTATAGCCTAATCATAGGACTATTTAGGAGAAACATTTCCTTTGAAAGATAACTTCCCTGTGCTTCTCCGCCCATGCATAGGCTATTGCCTACTCTATTTAATTGAGACCACACGCGCACCTGATCTCACAGGTATGGCTACTGAACGGGAAGCAGCAAGACTGATGACAGTGACACTTGCTATGTTTTGCAACGCCCTATAGGATATAGCCTACCTTTTAGGAGGACGATTTGCAGGTAGAGACAAATAAATGGGTAATTAATACTTAATGAAAATTAAAAGGTGCAACGCTCGTTCAACCTTAGTAGATTAACCTGTGCGCGTTGTGCCTTTCTTTTCAATTATGATTACATTTTTGGATTGTTCGTCGACTCACGTTGGTTGAGTGCCCTCCTTCTTTCCATTATCAATATTTATTTACAGGCACTGTAGTAAACTACAGTCTAATCATATTTAAGTAAATGTCATATTCAAGTTAACTGCCACGTGATTCTCCGCCCATGTAGGCAGCCTACTCTATTTCAATGAGACCACGCATACTAGGCGCACTTGAACTCTCACGCCCAACTAGGAGAGGTAGGCTACTGAAGTTGATGTAGCGAATTATGAGTGTGTGAATAATGTTTTAAAAAATGTGTGCTTTTAATACAATAGGTAGGCTAATCTGTGGGATAACAAAAATATTTTAATCCTAAAATAGTCCGTCTGACCGCCCGCTCCCGCCCGCAGCATGAAAACTGCCGACGGTGCTGCAATGATCTCTGTTGGGACCCGCAGGTCCCGCAGGCATCCCGTGGGAATGAGCCCTCTAGTTCAGTCAGTACACAACACTATGCTCATCATGTCTTAGCATAATCAGATGGTGACAGGCATCCCAGCAGGTTCAGACAGACAGGGATGACCAGTCTACAGAGCTCAGGTGAATTTTGCAGTAAATTAACAAGATCAGTGAATGATACATAGTTCCATCTTGAATTGATGGGTAGACCTACAGGACAGCAGCTTAAGCCTAAAGCTACAGTCTGGGATCTGGGAATAATGGTCATTTCAATTATTGAACCATTGATTCTATTCTTGTATAATATAATGTATAAATGTACACCAAGGTAATTCTTTGTCATGCCTCATTTTAGGAGGATCAGATGATGACAGGGGTCTCAGCAGGGTCAGGCAGCCAGGGAAGACCAGTCTGTGACTGAGGTGAATTTTTGCAGATACAACACTCTCTGTGCAGCAAACACTGGACAAGCCAGATGCTATTTTAAGGCAGTCTGACAAACCTTCAAAGTTGATTTCCAAACTGTATCAAGGGTTGATAGAGGCTTTTCCCCGATGACACAAAACATGTAAAACAAAAATGTGAGGAAGACCTGATGTTGATGAATGGATACAGATATGTTTGAATGCCCAGTTATGTTCATTTAATCTCAGACATAAATTACTGCAGTTTAAGACCATCCATAGAACGTTAGTCCTATAGCTAACTGAGGAAAGATTGACCTAACACAAGTTATCATATAGCTAACTCTCGGCTGACAGAAACCATAATATGAATTAGCTAATAGTAATTACTATTTACAATTCATCACATCATGGGTGACCTCACCAGTGATCAAAATAATTGAGTAAAACACTTTCTAAAAATGTTAAGTAATCCGACGATGGGTAGTTTTTTTCATCAACCAAAGATAAGAAGAGGAGACAAGATGAGTTTGGTCTGTTTGAAGTATGCATGTTAAAGGGGGTGTGTCGTCTACCATCATTCACTTCCCTTCACTCACTTCCGGAAGTTTACTCGAAAGATAAGTGAACCATCCCTTCACCTAATTTTGCTATAACATCTTTGGTCTGACAGACGTTTACGTGACACCCAGAATGCATTGTATAATGTCAACAAACACGGTGCCACACATAGCTGACAAATAGCTTAGCATTAGCGCATCATAATCAGTACTGTACAACCTTCAAAAAAGTATTTTACACACGTATCCATTACAATCTATGCAAAACGTGAATACAATTGTATATACATTATGCTCCATACATACATACGGTATGCTACAGCGATATACAGAAAATAAGGCACTTACTTTGATAGGAACGCACACATGTCCAAAGTTATTATTTGTAAGGAAAACTACAATGAAGGCAATGCGAGCGCCAAACAGAAAATGTGCCATAGGGAAAAGGTTTGTGCAAGACTGTGCAAATGTCTGCATACTTGATCTGCTAAAACACTGGGGAAGTGATTGGGCTCTTTTCGTTGAGAGAAGTTTGTCCGGCTCAGTAAAACCTCAAACATAAATTGTCTGCAACAGTGAAATGGACTACTTCTATGTGAATTAATGAGGAGGCGGAACACACCTCAATTCAAATGTCGTATCGCGTAAGTGCTGGCAATTATTGCTGATAAACAAAGGAGTCCACTCATACTGAATCTTTGATCATAAGGTTTATTCAGATCACAAGCTTTCAGCATAAGTTACAGGTGACATGCCCACCCGGAGAGCGACGCCTCAGATTGCAATGGCCGCTCTGACTTCTTCTTCGTTTAGCCCCTACTTATAAACAATGCAAAAAGATGGGTGCTCCCTCTTCTGGCCAATCACCAGTCTCCCCTGGGGCGTCACCCCACAAACGCCACATTTGACCTAACATAAACACATTCCATTTCTTCATGAAAAACATTTAACAAAGGCATAATCCTAATACACGACACAAACTATTGTTAGAAAATAAAACTTGTTAGAAAATAACTTGAAATTGACAAGTTGAAACATAGATAATTAGCAGGCAGCGTGTCTTGGTTAGAGGGCAGCGCAGTCACAATCACAATCACATTTTGGAACAGTGAATGCATTCTAACATCACGCGAATAATAAAACTCACGCTGGGGCGACCGTTAGAGATATTTGGAACTCATAGTGAAAAGGTTAAGGGTATACTG